TATCTCGAGCTCCATTAATGCGAAAGTCTGGTTGCGTTCAAGTCGGTGGGTTGCAAGCTACATGTTTTGGGCAGAATACGAAATGTACTGTGCTGTTTTCGAAATATTCCAAAAAATTTAATTCTACCTCATCTAATAGGTGCCGTGTAAAGTCCACCTTAGCGTTGTTCATCTGCTTGAATACTTCCGTCGGTTTTCGACGGTGTTCCTACTCAGACTAAATAAAAGCCAATATAAAAATTCGGTCATTTTTCACAGGTCTGAAAGGCATGGCGGTATTGATTTGAATCTACCCAAAGGGACACGACATTGCATAGTTTCCTGCGCGCATCCTAAGGAACGTGTTGGTGTTTTGAAAAAACGAGCGCGTTACTACAAACAAGCAGGCTAGATCGTAATTATTTTGTGTAATGCCTAATATATGTTACAGGATAGATGCTGCTTAACTCAAACGCTTCCTTGAGTTCATGCTATTAGCACCTATCTCTTGTATCTATCAGCCTGCATGCTTCACACTTTAGTGTGTGTTTTACTCTATCTTCACGTTTTTTTACGTGTAGCAGGGGAATTTTTAACCTAGTTTTCACGCGTTGAGGAAATTTTTTTCAGGTGGTAGGGGTGTAAAGCCCATCTCTCCTGCCAGACTAAATTGAATCTGATTTCTTCTGAGCAACCTTTTGCTCTGTTGTGTTGTTCGGTTACTGAGAGTGTTTCCCTACCCAGTTCCTCCCCAATCTGACTGGTATGATAGTATCGAGTTTGACAGACCAGTTACAGGAGATAAAGAAACGAACGTTTCAGTTTGCCACAAAAGAAGGGGTCTCTCCCGAGTCCTGTCATCTACTCACCCATATCTTCCCGCCCCTCTCCCTTTCTCGCTTGTTCGTCTCACTTCTGAATACTGGACGTGGTTACTTGTAACTGAGCTGAAAGTCTGTTTTCATTTATCGTCACTTATGGTGTTGAATCCGTCACACCGCAAGCCAGTCCAGGAACGACGTGTACCCTGTATTTTTGTCGTTTTTGACAAGGACCGGTGACTATCACGAGTGACTTGTCTAGGTTTTAGTTTAAACCAAACTTGACGTTCATCACTTCTCGTGGATATGCGAGGATAGAGTATGAACGCCTCTACACACACCCAATCTGCGACTGAGTGCACGGGTGTCGAGGGTTTACGCGCTGCGCATCATTGTAGCGCACTAAATTACAAATTGAGGCTGATTGTCACGTAGAATTGTATTGGAAGGTTGAAATTCGCTTCAAATTCTCAGGATACACACTTGGCCCTGACATTCTGATGGTTTTCCGAGGAATATCAAGCAACTCGGTATGCTTGTGATTTACGGGGTTCGCTACTCAGACACGCTCAGACGGTCCAAGCAGTATATTTGTCAAACTAAACTCCTGTCGCCTGTTTGTTGTGCCTAGATTTCATCATCGTCAGGGGTATTCATGACACTTGCAACAAATAGGTTAATAATCCTTTCAATTAATGACCATTACTCTAGTATTCTGAAGAAAAACAAGGGTTGTTGATCTGGTCGTTGGCTTGTTCGCTAAGCTGGGCAATTTAAAACGTTTCATCACCAATCGAGGTGACGTCGTTAGTTATTGGGGGAGTGTAGTGGTGCGTAGCGATGGGATAGTGGTTAGCCAACCACTGATGATGTCACCTCGATTGGTGATGAAACGTTTGCAATCAGAGTGCCCAGCTCAGCGAACAAGCCAACGGCTATCTACGGTACCTGAGCTACCAAACATTTTCTTCTATAGGTTGCTGATCTTTTGAATGAATGAATTTCTGCATACGGTCAAGCTCAAAACCAAAAATTATCTTCGGATCATACTGCATTTTTTAGTTTTCGTAAAATTTGGCTCCCCTTAAAAGTAACGGACAGGCTAAAGAACGTTACCCAATGCTTTCCATGAAAGAAACTCCCTAGATTTTCGATATCTTCTGGTCAACAGCTGTTCAAGCAAGTTGGCACTTATACGAAGCAAATCCCATTAGCTGAATCCGGCTTAAGACTGATCTGATAAGCTGAATACCGAATTCGGCTGGACGTCGTATGGGAACATGGCATAAGCGTTTCATGTATATTCGGGTAGGATTTCTGTGACCATAGATATCAAATTCATCTCTTCGCATACCCACTAACTATTAATTTGAACATGATTTAATGGGTGCACTTGCTTTTGTAGAAAAATGTTCGAAACTCACAGCCAGTGTTCAGTCAAAAGTATCTATTTCCATCATATTTCGAAAATTCAGGGTTCACAAATTGGGATATCAGTTTATCCATATGTATCGTACAATTCTTTTAGGTACTCTGTGAGCTGGCTGCGAGTATGCACGTACTATTCGGTGGCGTTCTTACTTGAGTGCTCGTCTCACAGGGTAGGTATAAGGTCCAGCGAGAAAATCGATACATTAAGCTTCGAAGTTCTGTCTCAGAAAACTCACCGTTATTGAAATATCCCTTGGAATGCACAGGTTATAACGGTTGAGCACGTTTCTCCTCAATTCAATTCTCCTCAATTCTCCTCTTCAGCTTCCTGTTATCAGTTGCCCAGCCGAATTCGTTGCGATTCTAAGGAAGCTGTGCTGTCTATGCTGTCTATATCCCTTCAGCCAATCAATACTTTTTGCGACTGAGAGTCTCTTAATGAACCGTTCCAGCATGCCATCAATTGGATTCTCTTTGAATCTACTTCTGAGGACAAAAGAACTCAAACACCTAGGTTATCCCACCTGTTTACTGTACTCAGCCTAACCACTAGTGAAATCTGTTGTACAGCTCAAGTTGAACTCTGTTCAGTTCACTACACGACCTGTTGATGAAATCCTCAGTTCAAACAACTGTTGCCCGAAATCTACTGTACCCGATTGTATCTGATAACATTCGATAGTACGAACTCTTCATTATCAGGAATTTTACGTAGGATTTTGGTAATGGGACTGGCGATTCCATTGCTGTTCCGTACTGTACATTGTAAATGCATAATTGTATTGCGGTGGTTCTAAATTGCGCTTCATACTCATGTTTGGGAAACAACATCATGCTAACCAGTTACCACACGAATGAAATTCATGCACACCTTGTATTGTCCCAATCCTTTTTGCCCTATTTGTTTTGCACAAAAGTACGGTCGCTCCTTCAGACCGCGATTTGCATTGCATCCAAGTGCGAATAAGTTCCACAAATGAATTTGTTCGATCATTTCCGCTGAGTTCCCCGAACATACTTTCTCAGGTGTGGTTAAGTGACGATGGCCTCGCCTGTTGCCCTCAAATGTTGTTGTAGCCTATTCATGACACCCCGACGTGGATAACATCAGTGTTACTCATGGGAAATGGCTATACATTTTGCCATACTCCAGCCTACATCTGTGTCCCTGGACTCACCTCAGCTAAAATATGACGCATTCGATTCCAATGACAAGAGAATTAAACAGTGGCAAGTGAAACACTCGCTTCTCAATTTGTATGGCTCGACATCAGTTGGGTATCTTCCCAGCGCGTGTTTTAAGATTTCCGCAACTAATGTGGTCGTCGACGACTGTGGTGTATCTAGTATGGCTTTAAGGCGGTCAGTAGAAACCCAGTGTCATCCGCAGTCTTTGATTGTAAATCCAACCTGTCAGAGTTTAATTCTTACTGGAGTGTTTTGTCGCAGCTAACGCCTTAACAAAAGCATTTACGAAAAGCGCAGAGCGGTCTCCAAATTGAAGGCTAGTTTCGTGAATTGAGTTTGTATGACACGAGAGTAAAACCCCAAGATCCTCTATATTGACGTGTTATGCCAGAACTACGTAGCCTTTGTTGTCAAACGCAATAAATACGGATCTATTGAATCTATCCCCTTGAACCTAAAACCCATGTTAGCAGAAGCATCATTTGTGGATATTTTCATTCTTGTGCACCTTCCAACAGATGACACAGCAGACGTTCCGCCTCTCTATGGATTTTCGGGGTTTTCTGTGGATAGTGAGCCGCTGCATTCAATCAACCCTATGTTTCTCCAAACTCATTCTCTGAATCCTATAATCTTGCCTCTTCGCACATCATAAACCACACTTCCAATTGAGGTTTCAGTCCCCTATTCATGTCTGCCTCCTTGCTCGGTCGCTCCTGAGATCAGTGCATTATCCTCCCCCCGATCCCTCCCTGTCAGTGCGCCACACCTTGTTCACATTGACAGCTTGCATGTCTCGGCGTTTGTCAAGTGGCCTTTTTCAGTAAACTTTGAGTCAACCACACAACGGCCCCACTTAGAGCGCCAGTTATCTACGTACAAAGTGCTTGGTCTGGTAGAAGTGCACACGTATTCCAGTGTGCCCGAAACGACCAAACTATCGACGGTTGAAAAGCTCTCATGACTGTATATACCGGTGCTTATATGATTAGAAGCCAGTTGAGCGTCCATAAAGTCTAGCCAGTCACGGCTAATATAAACAAGCTGAGGTCTACAGGTTTCATATAGACTTTTGATAACAACCGATGTGGTGTACTGCTGCTGACGGGCGTGACATTGACATTTGAAGCGCTCACACGAACTCACGTTGTCTGGTTACTTGACTTGGGACGGATCAACCGTCCAATCTTCCCCAGTTGCCTTACCCATTCTGGAAATGTGACCTGGGTAATAGCTGCATTTGACTGATGAGATCCGTAATACTTAGATCTATCCGTGTTTTTTTTCCACAAGACCAGTGGGTAAAGTAGTCAGTCCACCACTTTGCGACTGAAACAGTTACGTTCTTTTTTGTGTAAAACATATGAAGCTTTAACACCGCAGTCACTCCAAGAGTGACTTGTATTCATTTGACGAGTATCCATACAACTACGAAGTATAACGATGAATCATTGATGTATATCTCTCGCTTTTTCTTGGTATCTCCAACCAGTTGGAGGCTGTTTCCACTCAAAAACTTATTTGAGTCGTTCATTATATGCTAAATGAAACCTCTAGTTATCTTGTTTATTCACCCTATAGTCTGCTACGCGGAAGACGCACAATCACGGGTTTTGGATTGCTATCAGGTGCCCTGTCAAAACGGTGGTGAGTGTATCGGATCGCCCGACAACTCAACTTGCAAGTGTCCACCTGGATTTTCAGGTAGGTGATATGGCTTATTTGGTTCTAGGTGCACAAAACGTTTAGCTTGATTTCGTAACTTCGGATTGATTATGTTCCGTTTTAGGTTTAGAAATCTGCCTTCCGCGTTATATCTAGTTAAACTCTGGAAATTTACCAGTTTCTAATTAAACTTTCGCCTGGGTGAGTTTATACAACCCGGATTCTAGCTTCAGATACCCAACACCGACTAACTAGTTTAACTGAGAGAATACTCAGGAATCTGTGATATTGGGTTCGACGAAGCCACAACTGGGTTAGCTGCAGTAAATACACCGCACTGATGCATTGCGTAACTTACCGACTTCAACGGATTGATCTCTCATACATACAGCAATGCACCGCAAAGTTGCCACCGGCAATCTTGGATAGGCGGTTATGTTATCGATTCTCTACCATTTGCCCTTGAACAGTAAAAAAAATTCCTTACGGAGAGAGGAGTTGCGTTGACACTGTATAACTGTACTTGAATCAACGAGCCATAACAACCTTTATTCATCCTTTTCCATTTCGCTCTTTATGTCCTTCGACTGTTTTTCGACTTGTCACTTATAAGAATGCTAGTTTTACTGCGTATGTAAATTCGCTGACTTGGATGCTGATCGGCCTCCTTTAGAACTCGATGTCACGCTCACTTTGATGTGAGACTCAAGGTTGCCTTCAAATCCTAATGTACTTCGATAAATGATCCAATTTTCACGGATATCAACACAGGATCGGAAAGGGCCATGGTGAGCTGTGACAACACCCCGGGTATTTCAACTCGGGCTGTCAAATTCTAAGAATTTACCCATTGGTCAACAATATCCTACCTCCTAGGGGCCTTCAGCCTATTGCCTGTGCAAATGCAATGGAGACAAAATCGAGCAGTTAAACTGAATTGGTTTTTCTCCTTGAAGCTGATGTGACTCTGGGTATTGGAATTCAAATAGTTAAGAACTTTAATTAACCCCGAAAACGATAATAGGGAGACAAGACTACCAGTTGGTTGAACAAAGATTTTCAACAGTTCACTAGTTTCTAAAACACTCTAGAGACATCAGGTGAAATTCGAATTAACTGGAATTCCAGATTCAATTTAGACGTCAGGCAGTTTGACAAACTAAGTATCGCATGATAACGTTTTGGGTGCCATCCGTCTGTCGGATCTACACTGATCAGTCAATAACAACTAGCTTATTCTCTACTTGTCTCTTTATTTCTACATCTTTTAGCTCGAGAAAGTACCAACTGTTGTTTAACATTTAATTGATCCTAGTGGTCATCAAGTTGCAGAAATCGATGGTGCATTCTATTGAAAGGCAACTTTTATTGTGACCAGATTTCTCTTCTCTTTTGTAACGAGGATACTGATGTGACCGACTAAAATTCGTCGACACCAGCTTGGCTCTGTTTGGGGTTCATCGGGCTGGTCTAATCCCCGGAGTGTGTTGAATATTGTCCCCCCTTATCCATAAAAGTAGGTGTCTAACAACAGATATGAAACTTAAACAAAGTTTACTTTCCTCCAATGGTTTGTTGTAACGTTTTAGCAAGCAAATGTCAGTAGCGAGTATGTAGTTTACTAGATTTTCAATAAAATTGTGCCAATACTCTCGGACGAATGATCGGCTCTCTGAATTAGGATCATGTGAAGTCCAAGCGTTTTGAACGGATTTCTTAGCATTCGACTATGACCCTCTGTGTAGTCGAACTCTGTGTGACTGTCAATTGGAATAAACACAGTCGAACAGCACTTTTTCCATCAATTGTAGTGTGAGGAGATTTCGGAATTCTCAACTGAGATTTTGTCCCACAAGTGTGGCCAATCTATGCTAAAAAGCTGAGAAGTACTGTAAAACTGTTTCGTTTTTATTGGGAATCATCAAAAGTGCGCATCCCACGAAACCCAAGGAAGTCTCGAACCCGCGACCTCCCGACTACCAGTTTAAACCCTTGACCGTTTGGCCACGAGTGGCTGATCAGCAGTGTGAATAACTCGCACTTGGGAAGGATATAGCACCATTCCTCATTAAGTTACAGAAACCACATCAGATGGTCACCCTTTAACTGGCTCCTCAAATGGCGACTTATTAGGTGGAAGTTTCACCTCTCTTGTGAAATTACTCTTTCTGTAGGCTACTTATAGACTAAGTATCATTCACTGATTTTATTATCATTGTTGGATAGCGGAAACTTTTCGCGAGCTGTCCACAATTGCCAGAATAAAACAGACACCAGCAGAAATTCTGGGATGTAGAAATATTCATGAACTGAATGGACTCATGTGCACATTACCAACTATACTGCCGGGGAAAATTACACTAAGACCCGGCACTTACATCGTTGCTAATTCATCAAGCGAAAATTGATGAAGTGAACAGTTGGTGACAGAATAAGGATCATACTTCGGCGTTCAGTAGTGCTTATGAGCATCTTAGGCTATCTTTATGCAAAAGACCTTGATCCAGACTTATCTAATTCTCTCCTTCTGCCAATCATCTGGTCCGTCCTCATGTATCAGTCGGACGGTGACCAACGTCGGATGGCGTTCCATAGGAGCGCTGTGGTTCCATGGTTGTATGTACTATAAATGAATAAAATCTCAGTTAGGGATGAAAATTTCAGGTCTGCAGTCTTTCGATCCTGGATATCGCAACCTTCATCTAGAAAACGTGTTAGCAGACTGCTGATCACAGCAACAATTGAATCTCCATTGATTACACTTGCTGCATGTCTTACTTTGGACTAAAGAACAGAATGCACTAGATTGTCTGTTTACACTTTCCGTTTTATACGAAACATTCGCTCCGAAGACAAAGTGTGGGTCCTCGGTGGTGATAAAATTTTCCAACAATCGGGCAAGTGTCCACGGGAGAGCGCGTGGGCCGAAACAAGGCGATCATAGCACGGATGCTTGACGCTTTCATCTGTGACGTTAATAAATAAGGTGAAAAGGGCTGAGGTCTGCTCAATCAAAACAAACCAGCACACGACGGGCAGAATGCACTTCACTTAAATTATTCTACGATGTGAATGCTTGGGAATTCTATTGATGGCCGTTCCATGGGAAAGTGGGTTGTGGGTTTAGGAAAGCTCAACCAAGAGACTAAAATATTCTTCGCCACGGATGCTCAAATACTCAGAGGATGATGGCTTATGCAAGGAAATACTTCATTCAGAAAAAGAGGATATCTGTCAACCGTTTGTTCAACTTGAAGGAAACATCCCAGCCTGAATTACTTTTGTTATAGAATACTGACAGTGCATCCGTTGAATGGTCATGATCGTTTTAGTATTCGTCGATAACATTGTATTGGTTGGATGATAGGGTTTTTAAAACCTTGTTTGATTTTGAATTCGCTTTGGATGGGACTTCGAATTAGGAAGTGTTTGGATGAATCCGATTAGTGCCTTGTATCGAGAGAGATTACTGAGCCGCAAGCTCACTGCACGCTATGGTAATACCCGCTCAGTATGCTCAACTCATTCTCGTACAGGAGATGCAGTCACTTCAAAGCTGATCGATCTGGTCGATCCGACCCATTCAAACCACTTCAGATCCTGTGTAGTACTTCTAGAAGGGTAGATAGACCTGCTGCAGATAAGGTTTTATATGTATATGATGCAACTGCGCTCTGGCTTTTATTGGGATGTGGTTTAGTTACTCTCACGCGGTGGTAAGAGGGTGCTAAAGGGGTTTTGTCTTGGTAGGTGGCCGTGAGTGATAGTGGAGATTTGAGGTCATTTGGCCGTTCGGTCCTCCAATCGGTCCATCTTGGGTTAGGTTCCTTCGTTTCCATTGCTTGTTTGAACTCCCTTATTTAAATGGAGTACGCTTGTCCGGGTGTTTCCGTTTGTAAGTAGCTGCTAGGATCCGCAAGTGAGATACGCGTAGCAGGAAGTGAGTAACCCCAATGTTGCACGATAAGCCGACCAAACAGATACAGTGAAATCCCTCAAGGAGGAGAGACATTCAGGTGGGAATCAAGATGTTTCTAAATGTGGATTGCCTCTGTTTTGAATTAAACTTGGTCAGTCGCCATATCCATCTCAACGTAGTTCATCTATTGATTGTTGGAGTCGCAAAACACGTTTGTTCTTAGAAACATTTTGAACGGATCGTATGCAGGTTGTCGCACGCATATTTCAGCCTGCCTTGCACATAGACGTATACCTTTGGCTAACCTGAGCACATCGCAAGCTGCTTGAGACACTACTTCAGCTTCCTTAGGCTGGATGGTAGAGTCATCCGTATTGTCATCACCATCCGTCAGTCTTGATTTTTCATAGCACACTGTCACATCGTGGTAAGATGTAGCGAAGATATTCATCCACTCATGTAGGTATTTCTAAGTGATCACATTATATTATCAGCCACACCTTCACTCTACGTATTCTTCCACTAAGCGTATGTTTTGGACTGAAAAACCTGTATTGATGAATTCGGGACTGAACTATTTAGAACGTTACTGCAATTTGCTTTAGTGTATTGTATAGTATAGTATCTCTCGTGAGTTGAAGAAGCCTGGTTACCATTTTACAGACCTTGGCTTCAGTTGGTCGAATCTTCGTTTGCATAGGCGTACTAAAACGAGACACTGATGAAACAAGTGCCACAGCAAACTTTGCATGCTTGTTCTGCCTTGCATAACGCATTTTGGCCCACGGAAACGAACCTCAAAGTAACTAGTGGAACCTGCTGGCCTTGGACAGAGCAGATCGCCGTACAGTCCGTCTAATGCCCGCCCATTGTAGTCTGTTATTAAACCATTTGTCTTCAATATATCGCACTACACCAGCTACCTAAGAAACCCTAAAACGTCTGCCTACAATCCTCCGAGGCAGAACTAATTACAAACAGACGAACGCATCAGGTAAAAAGTCACGGGGTCTGCTAAAGAGAAGGATTGGTTTCACAGGACCGTCTTCAGAACACAGAATTTTCTTAATTTTATGATAATTCTGATAAGAAATGCAATGTCCCTTGTCAAAGGGTCCTGCTCTATACTGTCGGTCTTCGGTGCCCCACACACATGCACTCTTCCAGTCCTTAGCAGTAAGGTTTACTAGCCTCTCGATCCGTTAGATTGTGAGCATTTCAAACAGTGATTCCTTAACCGCCGTTTTTCCTTTTTCCCTTCGATTTTCCCTCATAAATACCTATAAGCATGGTCATGAGGATTTCAGGGCAATAGAATAGCAGTTATTCTACTCTACTTATGGGCGATAGTTACTAAAGTTATTGATATCTGTTTGTGGAGTGCTTTATTTTGAGGGTGCGGGCAGGTTGTTTATTCATTACTTTGTCAAAACTCGAGTACCACTTTACCATCAATATTTTCATACTGTCGCATTAATTTTGGTATTTTCATTAAATGATGGCACTGAGTTTCACTCAAACCCACCTTCATCCCCCCCTAAATTTTGCCATTGTTATACAACTGGGGTGGTGGCGTTGGGCATCCAATAAACTTCTCTATTCTCAATGTTACCATACTGCATCCAACCTTCATGGTTTATCTCTATTTCACCCTCGTGGCTCTACACACTTTGTCCCCAGGTTTCTGGTGTGAGAATCCGGGTCAGTGTGGGAACGGCCCTTGTCACCCGCACGTGTCAAGTACTTCCATTCAGTCGACTCCATCATACAAGTATGGCACATGCCCCTCCGGATGGACTGGGCTGAACTGTGATGAGGACGTGGACGAGTGTTCCATCGGACATCGTTCACCTTGTGAACATGAGGGAGTATGTATGAATACGGTAAGGATCAATCCTTCCCAGTCAACTGTTTTTTGCCGTTCGGATCAGACCCCCTTCCGATATGAAGGTGTTGAAAATTGTCGTCCATATGCTAATCGACTAACCAACTGACCTGTCGTGGGAAAATGCAGAATAATCCATTAATAACTGTTGTACACGTTCCAGACACAGGTGATCGAAACAGGTTGTGGACACATGCGGAGTTGTAAAATGGTTAGGGTAGGGAAAAAGTTCACGTCCATTGTATACCACAGGTGATCGAAAGCCCACCATACCTTCTGTTTGATGACTTTGCAATAAGACCCAATATCTAGCGTGATAGACCGATGCCAGTGTTCTCATCGGTGGCACTACCAACATTTATGATTTTCAGCAACTTTTCGTCGGGATATTTGTAGATGAAATTGCCTGTTGATGTTGTTCTTGTCAGAACACTCATTTCTTAACAACCATAGATCACCGTTCATCCTAGGTCTACTCCTTCCACATTACCAAACGGTATCTGGCTTCTAAACTGCCTCTAAAAAACAAGTATTTTGCTAACCCAAATAATGGTCCAAACGTATCTACTTTGAGTTGGTCACCGCTGATGGAACGACCGCCACTAAGAAGCACAGTCCCCGGGCAGTATCGTTCAGATAGCACGAGGACTTCTCGTTCCATCGTGATGGCTTGGTTGAACCAAGTCGGATTCTTCTCCGTTAATGAATTATGGTTAAAAACAGCACAGAGATGCGTCCGACAACAAAGAATATGTGATGTGAGTGCTCGCGTTGCATATCGCTTTAACGCGTATTTTGCAAGCGAATCATTCAAGCCTAGGTCGTTCCAACCCTTCTTTCTTCATCGAGTCATGGGACGACAATAATTGTGCTGCCTTTGTGTGCGCCAATAAAAATAAGGAAAAGATCTTATGTTTTGGCTGGTGACAACCATGTTCCAGTGAGAGTGGAGGCGGACGGCTTTGAAGGATATCGTTACCAGTTTTTCTTGATTTTTATTGTGTTACTTATCAGTCACTCTGCTTCGGAAGATTTGCTGGTAGGTAGAAAACTAACGAACGTACAAATCATGAGGAAGAAGAGTCACTATGACTGACAGTAGTATAGATGGAGTCTTATAGAGTAGGGAGAATTTCGATCTTAAAAGCTATGAGTCGATTCATTGTGAAAGGAAGAAGGCCTATGCTGCGGAGTTCTTTATTAGAAAACCAACTGAACAGTTAGACTATTGGATAGGGAAGCAAAACTCTCATATGCATCTTGTTTACAAAAACTGAATATCCATCTTCTCCTTGAAGGCGTATTACTGAACTTTCCTGGATATTCATTGACTGTTACTCAAATGCAAGCAAATGCTACAAAGCAAGTCCACAATTTCCATAACAGATCTCACTTTTCAAGAGACGCGAAGCGGATTTACGAGAAAATATGCTACTCCCATGCCCCGTCAGTAGTACTCACCGTTACAGTGGTAGCAATAAACTGTTTCTCAGGGCTGGATGACAATTATGCATCGGTTGAATAACATTAAAGACATATGGTCATTCACCACACACACTGAATAGGACAAACAAACGTATTTTAGAAAATTGGTTAAGAAATCGGCTCACTTACACCCATTTGTGCCGGAGCTGCTCTTCATTTTTCAATAGTAGCGGCTTTTATTCGTGACGTTTCGACTAGTAAACCTTTGTAAAGAGAGAATAGTGAAAGTAATTGATGTGTAGAGTTGCTTCACATCACAATAGCCGCTTCCGCAAATCTCAACAGCTTTGTCCTGTTGTATCCACCTAGAGTTCTTTTAATCGGTTTGATGAAACTCACCCAATACATGTAGCTTAAGTGAACTCTCACTGAGCGAACAGTTCAGACATACTGTTCACATACGAGAGGCTCGGAATCTATAAATAGTACCTCACACCTCTGTAATTAGTTCCGTTTCGGTGGCTCAGTGATTGTGTACATCCCTAGGGATGACATGCATGGCTTGATTCCACAAATACTAATCTTTTCACAATAACTGATCCCCAGGTGTCCTAAATTTGCGCTCATCTCCATAACCCCAAATTCTTTCTGAAGCGTGCACTGCCCAGACAAGCTTCCACAATGAAGCATCAGGTTGAAACATGTGCATTTGAGCCATGGGTCAGCTGTTGCTACAGCTGACGCACGTTGTAGATGGAATCGCAGGAATTCACTCCGAACGCGGGCGTCATCTCGTGCATCACTAAACAGCGTTTATTTGGTTAGCCTGATTTTCACCGAATCTTTAGCCTTGCACAGACTACACCTCTGCCGTGTTATTGTGACTACGGTTTGTGTATACACATGGACGAAACGAAACCCTCATATCTAAGCGCACGCAGTCGCAGCTGTCAACGCACTTGTACCAAATATCGATCAGCGCTGATGTTCCGTATAGGTCATAGCTGTTTGAACATTTTTTCCGCTCTTTCTATCTCTCTCTCTCTCTGTGTTTCTCGCTGCTAATATCAAATACTCATGTTTGCTCTGTTTCGGCTTGTTTGCAGCCCGGTGATTTCGTTTGTCGATGCCGCGAAGGCTTCACAGGCGCACGGTGTGAAATTGAAATTCTGGAGTGTGCTACATCTCCATGCCTGAACGGTGGTTCTTGTGTGGAGGGCATCGGTAATTATCATTGCATTTGTCCACCTGGTAAGTTGGGTTTTGGTTCCCTGACTACTGCCTTGAATGTTTCGTTTTCATTCATTGTTTTTTTGGGGGGTCTTCTCACATTTTTGACATCTTAAGACCGATTTCGCATCACATGCACTGTGCATGGTGGTTGTCAGTCTGCTTGCTTAAGATCCCTAGAATTTCATATTTTTCACTGAACGCGGAATAAAACCCGTGATAAAGCGGTGACAAACCAAAGCCGTTTTTTTTGCACTAAAATCATCACACCTTGTTCAAGCTCCGAATGAATAAGTTTGTGACTAAGTCATAACAACTTCGAGCTCCATTTTCGGAGCATGGTGGCTGCTAGGACAACTCGGATGTGCCCTCTCCTGCGATTTCGCTTGCCGCTTGACCACGGAATAAGGAAGAGGACAGCTGAGTATTTTGGTCTTTCGAACAATGAAACGTTTCATCGACTTCTTGACCAGTATCGGACTTGTGTGTACCCATAGTGGTGGTGATCCGAGGTTTTCCGCCATCTGATTCGAAGGGCCGTTTACGGCGTTGAACCTGTGCGGTTTATCGAGGACAAGCAACAAAACATAGATATTGGGGAACTGAAGAGTCCATTGTCGCTCTCCTGATCGCCTTGCACCACCACTCAGTCATTTTACCGTTAGGGAAATGTGATTTCATTTGCGATCTCCGCATGTTAGTTTTTCCGGAATACACTTAGCACGGACAATATACTCCAGCGTTTTGCAGTTAGACGCATTGGCTGCACCAGCTAATCGTTGTCCAATGGATGTTGGCTGCATGCTTGAAGGTTTCGCTAACGTTCAGGCTCAAACCTTTGGTTCACACGCAACTGCTCTGATTTCTACAATGCACAAGTGCTTGTTCGATAGTAATTCTCACTCCCGACCGACTAGCACAAAACAAAGCTCAGTTCAAGAAAGTCAGTGTGTGTGAAAATCGAGCGAATAACCTTGATATTGATACAAACTACTGTTTAAAATTGTAAATAAGACAGCTGGAAGTATCGCGGTGGATATTTGTTCGTCGGGATTCAATACAACGACATTTGAGGTGGTCCTTTTTATCCGACCCTCTCCAGTAGTTATTTCTTTGATTAGATGACTGTTTGTGCAAATTGATTTTCCAAACGGGTCACCTGCCCAATTTCATAACCAACTTCTAAATACAAAGTGGTCCTTTTATCTATGGGACCGATGAGGACCCATCAACATTAATCTTACAATTAGTATTTTGTGTCGGCGACTAAATTCCTTGTCGTAAATATCAGCTCCGGTGAACCATGAGATGATCTATGTGATACGGTCTCGGCTGAGAACGGGTATCCTAGACGAGGATGTACATTTTTCAGCCCTCCAAGCAGTTCTGAAAGACGGCAACCCCAACTATCTGCCTCGACAAAATTTAGTCTACGTGAGTTCGCGACGCACCGAGTACATTTTTCCATCTTGTCAGACGCAAGATCTGGGATGAAATCAGGCTTGCTTGATACTATGCGGTTAAATAGCTTTCGGACGGACAATCGGAAGTTACGGTACAGGTGTCGGATAGGTATCTCTACGATATTCTAGTCCTATAGTATAGAGAAGAACGGACAGTCGGAAGTTACGGTACAGGTGTCAGATAGGTATCTCTACGATATTCTAGTCCTAGGATCTTCAAAATAGGACAAAGTGATGCAATGACTATGGTTTTTTTGATAACTGAACTGTTTTTATGTCGTTTGGTGCACAATGTTGCTTTCGAAATGAATATGGTTTGGTTGATCATACACCGGGTTTTCAGTTGAGTATTTTAGTAAGGATCCTCTCAAAGGATACGACGGACGCAGGCTTCATTAAACGCAAGAAAATGAACAAGTTTTATGACAGAAAATGGTGGCCTTGATGATAAAAGCAGAGGATCAGTGTGAGAACGAAAAATGCGAAGTGTTGTCATATTATTCGTGGTTTGATTGAATTCATCTGACAAAACTAGGGATCAGTCTGTTAAATCAGGTGATGCTCCAATGCTGACGCTCGGGAAAGAATAGTTTTTGTAAAAAGGTTATCCTTATGGGGATGTTGTACTTCCCCTAACCGCTGTCAGAGGAAAGAGTAGCTCAAGCTGTTTCATTCAAAACCTTATGAAGACGTTCAGGCTTAAAATGCATAATGAATGTGTCCTGGTCGATCGGTGTGTCCCATCGCCCACGCTATCATCAGTTTATCCTCCTTTCAATATCTTTGGACAATGGTTAATCACGGTCTAATCTGCATAGCGAATAGGAAATGCATCAATCTTTGTTCATTTTATTGAAAAAAAACTACCGCTATTTTGTGCACATAACCTTAGTGCAAAACAAAAATGTTTTGTTCATGTCAGATTGAGTCACCGTACTTCGCACTTTACTGGACAACAGAGTGCTTAAAGTCACCAGACATGTAGCATAAATATCTACAATTGCAGTAATTCCTTCTCTTTGAGCCTTGCAGTTTCTCACGATGTTATCTACATTCAGTGATTGACTGAAACCGTGTTCAACAAGCCAGGCGTTGTTTTCTTAAGCCTTACAACCGGTCGAGAGATCCTTCACTTTTCTATATCGCAAAGACGGGTGAATTGTAATTACTCCGCCCCACCTGATAAGCGGCTGTTGATGGTGGCTTGACATGGCTCGATGAACGTACGTCATTCATAGCTACGTTGATTGACATGTTGTTCTGCGTTGTCCCCAGTTTTGGACAGTTGCTGTGCAAAAATGTCTAATATCCTTAGTTTTGTGCATGGACTTAAAAGGGGTGGATGAATGATGAAGATCCATGCACATCGATTTGCTGCGTTGACACGTATGGACTACGTAAGCTGTTTGTTGCGATGACCAACAAGTTGAATGATGCGGTTCCCTTGCAGAGTCACGTGTGGGAACAGCTGACGTGTACAATACAATCCCGTTCCTGGCGTGTATATCGGCGAATTCTTATCAGCACGTAAAACACGGCAAATCTGCTGCTTTGTTTGTATTCCGGGTTGAACGCATGGAACTCCCAAGAGCACGAACACTTTCGTTGCACACACAGTCCAAGCCTTTCTGTTCCTACCTCCGTAGCACTTTGAAATATGGATAGGTTACTCCTGGGAAAAAGGTCAAACATGGACTAAGCATACTGCTACTAATGGTTAAGAGGGTTCAAGGGCATGAAACAATCAAGTGCCGATACACATCGTTTTCTTCCTTTATTTCTTTTCTTTCGTACTGATTGAAACCTGGAGCAGCCTCTGCGCTGCACAGTTGCGAAGGGCTTCAATGATGAGCGATTTGTTCGAATGTATTTTGAAATTCCTAGTGCCACCGGCTGAGTGTGCGAAGCACTTATAGATACATTGCTTTAATCTACTTCGATCACTGCTAATTCATACCGATTTGTACGTTAGTCCGGTCGGTGAAATCATATGACTTGGCAGCTACAGGAAACATATTTCTCATCGTCATAGTGAGTGCCAAACGGTACATTCGCCAAATTGAGGGATGGGCTTTTAGAATTGGATAGCCATCATTCTGTCGATCGGTCATTCCGGTGTTCGACTTCCCTCACAGCCCTTTGGCCTCAGCAACAAGAAGAGTTTTTTTCGATCTGTAGCAACTCGAATGCCCAACTATTCTGCATCCCAGTTCCTTTTTTGGACGGAAAATTCGAACGTTTTCATGAACTTGACCTATGAGCCTTCGGGTCAAATCGAATCAACAACCGTATTTTTCCCCAAGTAGTTGCCTTTTGTGAGCATTCCTGTGAATGGTGGCGAAATCTGTTGTTTTTTAGTATTTCATGTTAGGTTATGATTTTCAGCTTTCGGGTGGCTCGCATATTCCCCGCACCAAAAGCCTATATTACGTTCGGAAATTACAAGATGATCTAATTCGCCCCCCCCCATTGACGTACTGTTTCTTGTACTGACTGTTTGTGCTCGCATTTTCTGATTGTAGGATGTCAGCATCTGCGTAATTCTTAAGGCAACTGATATTTTCCGCGCTGACTGGATACATCAGTCCACCAGACGATGATTTACAGTCCAAGAATATGTATGATTAGTTTTTCTTATATCATTTGAGTGATTGGACAAAACCTGACAACTTCAAACGCATCTGTTGACATCGGTGACGCTATCGTGATACTCATGGTCTGTAAATCATCAGAATGTGTGCGCCTAAACAAGAACTGGTTCGCGCTTGAATTGGGTTCGGCTGTCACCAATATCTTTGATATGCATAACTTGGTGTACACCCAACGATTGTGGCACTGTCTACTGTGGGTTTACGACTCGTAGCCACTTGCCTTCGGTGATGTCTCACTTCTTAAGCTATCATAAATGAGGGATTCAGTTGAGTCTCCCGTTAGCATTAAAGTATTTTTCAATTGGTTGTATTGCTTCAACCGATATCTTACCTCTTTTCCTAAGATGATTCTTTGTACTACTTCCTCTCAGTATATGAACAGAATGGTGACAAAATCGTCCTCACTAACACTGCGTTAGTAGCTATGTTTTGAGATACCTCAGCGGTTGCGGCTAGAACTACTGATTACGAACGTTGTGGTTTGAACCCGCCTTCAACTTGTCAATCGGTTTTGTCTACACTTGAGTAACCTGGCAGTATACAGGGTGTCTTGGTTTCTTCGGTCTGCATGGTAACTGAAGGGAGTCACACCTTGAGGACTTGAGCTTTCGCGTTGAGTCTGAAGTCCTGACGAATCTACTTGTTAAATTTGTAAGTCTTGAGCGCTGAACTCTTAGAGAAGGTCAGTCGGTTTGTGTTTCATGCCGTTCACTCTACAGCACATCCCTTATCGGTGGATAGTCCCGAGTAGCCTAGTGAATGATACTATGGACTTCCGTTTCAACGAACCTGGGCCCGAATTCTCGCATGGAGAGATCATAACCGCAAGAAGTACGCAACCGGTAGCAGGCCGTTCAAGAGTTTTGACTAACTGTGTAAGGAATCTGTTCTCCAGCCACAACTCGCCCCCATTTGTAGCTCTAAGAGTAACTGAGGCAACACAAATATCCAAACGCAAATTTCTAGCATTCGTGAATTTATACGACACACAAAGTGAGCATTGGAGAATTCGAAAAGAGCGAAAGACGTCATGCGCAGTGGCAGTTATCTCACAGATCAGCGAACACAACCGAATTTCACCCCGCAATGGCAACTGATCAGTCCGAAAAGTCAATTATTTATGGTAATACATTTTCAACAGGAAATCGTACGGAGACGGAAAACTCTGTATGCTGTCCAGAAGGCGTCTCTGATCCATTGATATATGGACTCTTAACGGGACCCATGGATTTGATAGCAGCTTCGTCTTTGTTTTCGTTAGGTTACATAACATCTATTGACGGCACAAAACATATTACTAACGGTATTTAGAGGGCATGAAATGGTACCGAGTTAACTCCTGGGTGAGCTGGATTAAACACGAGCCTAATTCTTTGTAGGGATACAACAGTAGGTTTCAGTAGTGTGCCTATGGTCTTCTATCAAGACAGGTGTATCGATATAAACCATAACAAGCATGCAGAATTCAGACCTTCATGCTTTCTTTGATGGGTACACTGAACTCTCTCTGATCAACCCTTGTGTTCTGTCCATACGACTTCAATCAATGGGTCTAAATGCTTACGGTGCGTATTCGAGCCACCCGAGTCACATGTAGTCATCTCTCGCTCTCTGGTATACACCCTTTCCCTGATTTTAACAGGGTTCGAGGGAGACAACTGTGAGCATGAAGTTAACGAATGTGCTCACACTCCGTGTCAAAACGGTGGGCAATGTGAAGATCGTATCGGCAGTTATTTGTGTCACTGTCTCCACGGTTGGACCGGACCGCATTGTGAGGAACGGCTGACAACTTGTTCAGACTCTCCTTGTCAGAACAGTGCTGTTTGTGTCAACGTAACCGACGTGGGATTCATCTGCGACTGCCCCAAAGGTAGGCGTTCCTTAGGCTGATTATGCATGTTTCTGGTCTGAGAAATTACTCATCGTGATTCATTTTGCGGCATCGGGCACTGGTCAACCACTGGTTTCAACACAAATGTGGTACAGTATTTCTTCTCTGGTAAAAACTCCATTTCTAATGCGACTTCATGGTATTCATAAGTGAAAGCTACTCATCCATTCATAGTAGGACCAACCCTCCAATACAAGTGAATTCGAAATCTCGTTAGTGACGGAGTAGTATGCAATGGACACCAACAGCAGCGTCGCTCATAGCGTTCGTGTAATAGTAACTTGAACACTCACTAATGATGAACTGACAACTTTGTTAGTCCCCGACCCGTTTCCCCCTTCTGACAATACTTACAAGAGAGTTTGAACAAGCATAGTATCTGGAATTATAAAAACTATGGCTGCTGTGGAACAATGTTTCCATCACCGAGATCCGCTCATTTGCAAACAAATTTAGTTTTGCGAGAGACCCAGCTGGATCTCTCGTTTATGACGTTTCTAGTGGAACATAAGGTTGACGGAAACCCGGGACTGCACCTACCTGATGAGCCCCAAAGAGGAGCGAACCGGTCATGGGCTGTCGACTTTATGAGTACTGTATGATGTTTCGACCAGTTCTATCCCGTTAACTGGTTAGTATTTGCACAGCAGGCATAAGGCCATGAGTTCCTAACGCGCAACCGTTAATTGACATCAATTAATAATATCTGATAAACTTAAAATTGACAAGTTACCACTTTCGAGGCATATGACAATGAAAGAAGTAAAAAACGAATGCACAGTACGGCTACTTCTACTGCTATCGATGATAGTGGTGAAAATGATAATAAGGGTTACATTCCCCCCCCCCAATTAAGGTTAGTCAGCTTTTATCCTTATCAGCTTGCTGGAATGCCGCGAAACCCCAATGGGAGCCTTGTCGTTGAATTGGGAATAAGATACTAACCCCTCAAAAGAATTTGGAAGAGGTCCGTAATTTCGGCGCGACTGATTATTTTCGTGAACCACTTTTGTTTAGGAATGATGATTAAATTGTGTGTACGTCGAAGCATTTATAGCATCGGGGTGTTCCTTCGTTGTTTGCTTAGTGCACTTGACAGTGGTTGGCTAACCTTTCCTCATCGGTCGACTTGACACCATCAGTATGTGGGTGAGGAGTATCGGCACGGAAGAAATTCTGGGAAAAAACGATCCAGTGCTCACACGCTTGTTTATCCAAACATTTTAGATGTTTTAAAATGAAAGAAAACTGATTATCCTTATCAGCTTGCTGGAATGCCGCGAAACCCCAATGGGAGCCTTGTCGTTGAATTGGGAATAAGATACTAACCCCTCAAAAGAATTTGGAAGAGGTCCGTAATTTCGGCGCGACTGATTATTTTCGTGAACCACTTTTGTTTAGGAATGATGATTAAATTGTGTGTACGTCGAAGCATTTATAGCATCGGGGTGTTCCTTCGTTGTTTGCTTAGTGCACTTGACAGTGGTTGGCTAACCTTTCCTCATCGGTCGACTTGACACCATCAGTATGTGGGTGAGGAGTATCGGCACGGAAGAAATTCTGGGAAAAAACGATCCAGTGCTCACACGCTTGTTTATCCAAACATTTCAGATGTTTTAAAATGAAAGAAAACTGAGAAGATAGAATCAAATTATCAACCGCCTGTCAGAAGTCAGGGGTTGTAATCTTGTCGAGGAAATCTTACATTTAATGCCTAATTAGCAGCGCAAACTCAGGATTTCTATCAGAAACGTTTTTTTTACGAAAACTACCCATTGTTAAAAACTTCTCGCGATGTGCCGCTGGAAACGGTCAGGACACCGGATGATAGCTTTAAGTGACACTTTAGCCTCTTTGTGCTTGCCGTGGTATGCACCCTAAGCACCCATGCCAGTGTGTCATTACCATCGGGTGTCAATTCTTTGGCCTCATAGATTGCCTTGCCTTTATCCTTGAATAAATCCTATCAGAAGTTGGATCATTGAGACAGGTGTACTGCACATCTGAAGCAGTGCTGAAAATGGGGTGTCATTCTAGAAGTGAGTATGCTCTAAGTGAAAGAGAATCGGTGTGTACGCTACAAAACATAGCGGAGTCGATGATGTACTCATGCTCTGACGTGGTGTGGCTTGCTCCACTTCGGTCGTCTTTCTTGTGTCACACATGTTGAATTAGTGCCTTCATTGTGCTTTAGGCCACCAAATTCCGAAAAAAATCATGTATTTATCCTACAAATTGCTGGAGGTACCGTTAAAAGCTGTGTGACTTTATTCTTGTTTCGCACAGTGTAAGTCACAAATGTAGACGTTCTTAGGATTCGTTAATTGTTATTTTTGTTTCTACACCTTTCCGTAAAATATCTCCTCAGGTTTCGCCGGTCGTACCTGTGAACTAAGTGAAGAAGACTGCGCTAGTCTGCATTGCGCCAGCCGGACGGATTGCCCTGACAGACCAGAAGATCCGGGGTGTCAGTTGTGCAGTCGGTGTGAAGGCATCCTTTTGAAGAGGCCACCAGTCACGGATCGTGTCTTGACAACAGTTGCTGTTGCCGCGGTCTTAACTCGAGTGAGTCTTAGTGCTTTTGTTATCTTTCCTTCTACCATTTTTCCATTCATTACATTCATTGATTAAACAGACCTTTTCGTAAACTCTCCCTTTTCATCAATACAGTCCCAGTGGTTCATCGGTGGAAGTCGGTGCCATTACGCCCAATAACCACAACCTGTGCTGTCAGAAGAGTTTTGCACAGTGTTTTACAAAAACTTCACTTAAAGATTAAAAAAATTGTATACGTATGTGGTGTTAGTCATTTCATGTGTAGTTCAAAACAAAGTATACTCTGAGTGAAACGTCATTTGTTCATAGGAAAATGGACCATGTCAAAAGGACAATGTATTTCCGGAACTGTGGAAAACTATGAAACGATAGTTCGCCCAGATGGGAAGAGACAGTTCATCGGTTATAGAGCAGAACTACTGACCGTTTCTGTCTAGGCTCGTGCAACCTGGCGTTATTTCAGACTTCATGCATCGTTCGAGCTGTACAACAGCTATTCACCGAAAAAATACCATAGCCGATCAGTTCGTTCTTTCAGTCAAACTGCAGAAAAACATGAACGATTTTGCATAGCTCGGTAGTGCCCCTAGGGTACTAACCAAACCTCCAATCCAGTCGTATCTCAAAGTTAGAAACAATGTTGTTGTACCCGAATGATCTCATAAAATGAGTTCACCATACACTAACCGTGTGTTGTCAATCCTTGAGATAAGTAATTCGCGAAATCAGGGAGCACAACGGTTTGTTGAGGCTGACATCTTCACGACTTGGGTTAATTGAGCTTTATAGCCTGTTGGTGCGGGTGTATCTTATTGCTCACCAGGCTTCTGTGCTGAATGTTGCATGTTCTCTTGAGAGCTTATGATGCGCGTACAGCTACCGATTCCTAGGTAGACTTCGTCTGACATTATGTAATTCCGAAGGTGGAAATTCAAAATATCCACAGTTGTAAAAAACCTACGCTCTCGTTGCTAGAGTGCACAAGAGACAAACAAGTTTCAATGGTATACCAGGTATCGTGTTTCCCGACCTCAAACGTATCATTTGCAGCTCTTTTATTTTTCACACTCTTTTATGACAAGCCAACAGCAAACAGGAAATGTATGCGGCTTTCCTAACTGAACGAACAATGGTTTCAGTCACGCTCTACCTTTTTACATGCATGTACGGTGAACACAGACAGGCTTTGGCACGTCATTTGGTCAGCCGCGGATAACCATGCTTGGCCGAGCTTAGCGTTAACAACTAGTCATGGAACGGAATCTCGTGCTCCGATTGTCCTCATAATGACAAGGGTCCGTACAGCACCCTGCAGTTTTGAGGCGTGGGTGGGACAACTATTCCTGTTAAATCTCTAACCCCTGGGGGAGTGAACACGTTATAACTTGATGTTAGCTCGGCATTTTCTACTGTTGTTTATTTAGACTTTTCAAGTTGCCACTGGTATTCAGCGGAGCGATATCGGCTCTTTTGGAGGCGTCTCTGGACTTTAGAGAGTAAGAGTTGAAAATGTGGAAAATGGGTATGTTACGGATGTCCTCATCATCATAAATGATAGCGACACCCGTGGCGAGTTGGCCCAAGGGGTTAGAGAGCGAATTTACTGACTGGGAGGTCCGTTGGTCGAACCCGACCTCTGCATCTCGACTTCTCCTGTCTAGGCTTGGGCAACCTGGCAGTATCCCGGCTCTCGTAATTCCTTCGGGTGGCATGACAGACGGGCACCGGAAGGGTGCTACAGCTGAACGTTTTCTAACGACACCCGTGTTATACGCTGACGCTCCACCGCCTTATTTCAAACGAGTGTAACATAGATCCGATCTATACCATGGAGTTTTGCAACCGATTAAAACGTACGGTTCGTCAACTTAGCGAACGCAGAACATCTACTAAGCTCACAATGTACTTTATTTCAAGCACCAGCTTGTTTTTATCTCTTAATCGATGTTAGAACATCACCATGGTTCTCCGTAGACCACTTGATGGTCCTGACTGTGGTCGCTGAAGGGTCTCGCGCACCCAAATCCACTGATTAACTATTGCCCCATCCTTTTTTCTATCTAGCAACCTTGTTCCAAACTGAATTGCAAGAATGGAGGTACCTGTTACCTCAACATGTGCCACTGCCCTGATGGCTTTTCGGGTTCACAGTGTGAGGTTGTGGACGATCCTTGCCGGGCTGGACCTTGTCTCTTTGGTGGATCTTGTTTGCCGAACCAGACAGTGACGCAGGGCTACGTTTGCGAGTGCCAACCAGGGTTTGAAGGTGAGAATACTTCGATCATTCCGATTGGTGTGGTGTATTTTATATTAGGTTACGATCTCCCCTAGACTCTTTCCAGGGGATAAACATAGTGTGACGTCCACGATTCTAGCGAACAATAGAGTACAAGGGAACGTAAATATGCTGTCAGACTGCCTATTCAATGTGTTATGCTCTTTCCAACGAATGGACTTTCCTAATCATCGCAAGCCATTGTATATCAGCGTCGAAGACACGACCATTCTAAATGAGATGTTTAATTTTCAGGAGTAAAAGTGTGCATAGAGATTACCAATGCGGAATACCTTTTTTTGCGGAATACACGCATTTCACAGTACGTTAGTATGGGCGAGATGTTCAACTGAAGTTATTATTATGGTATTCTTCACCTGAATATGCTACAAAGACCTGCTTTTTGTTTCACTTAGCACGGTGTTTGAGATATCACAGTATGTTTTCTTGATTTGATACACTATCCAAGGCTGCTGAAGACTCTATAGTCCATTACCTGTGGCCCTTCTTTGGGCTCATCATGTAGACGAAATCTCCGAGTTTCCGTCATCCTTGCGTCCTCTTGTACGCCGAACTGTAAAAAATTGCTGAAATACACTCGTTTGCAGACTATGCTTGCAAATTACATCAGTAGTGGGCTGTTGAAGAGTTTTCGGGAACCTAATTTCATGAAAATATACCGCAGAATTCCGAATCTCGTGCCAAATAAAACTGAAATACGAGTAGACGTTCAACCAGCACATTCAGTTCAAAAATATCGTAATATCATCTGAGTCCCCCAATAACAGAAACGTAATTTGCAGACGACTGTATTTCACCAGTTGTGCACATTCGACAGAAACTCGAAGATGGTTCCCAAGAAGGACGAAACCGGTTGTGGGTTGTCGAAGTGTCTTCAGCAGCCTTATGAGTAGTGTGTTGAGTCACAGGAAAATACATTGTATTTTTTGTCCAAGACCACTCGAGTTCGATACCAGTCTGTTAGCTAGAAACATACTAATTCACTTAAGCCGAACAACTCTAGGTTTTCCGTTGCCAGCGAGCAGCCACTCATTATGGTTAGTTTTAGATACTTCGTGTGCCAAAATGAGCCTCGTTCAAGTTTCATATATAAGGGGACAACGAAAAAGACTATATTGTAGTTCAATTAGCGAGTGTCCAGCATACTAAAGTACTGTTCCTTATGAGTGATATGGAAACAGTGAATTTCGATCAATCTTACTCTAGTCATTTGTAAAAAACAGTCTTTCACATTTTTCCTGAGTCCACACTTGGCCCAAAGGAGACCACTGTATCAACCAACTGTCTACCTGTTTATCCCTGCCTATTGGTTGCCGACGGTAGTCTTGCTGTTTGTTCCGTTTGTGAGGGAACCTGGTTCCCGAGACTCTTCCCGGTCACAGTTGTTCCTCTCATCACTTTTTCAAATTAATTACCGTGTTAGAATGTTTGCTTGGACTGAGAATAGTACTAACTCTGGATTGTCTGTTCGATCTTGTCTGTGTTCAATCCTGATGCTAAACCTGTGCGTTTCCCTAGCTTGTTCCCATTCAGCTGACCAAAGCTGTCCTTGAGCCGCACACACTGTTTGGTGGAACTTTGCAATCAGAAAAATAAGTGAACTGCCCTAAGTAAGGACTGTCCCTTCTTGGGTCGTTTGCCGAACATCCGTTTTAGAATCCCACAAAATATCTTGGGTTGTCTGTTACTCCGAGTAAGTAAACAACGCCAAATTAATCGAAAATGTACTTGTTTTTGGTACGATTTAGGCAAAATGGATGTCCGTTTCTTGAGACATTACTGTATGCATGCTCTGCGAGAGACGCTGAAGTTAGAGCATTGTGGACAATAAATTCCTTAACGTTTATAGGGTGCAGCAAGCTAAGTTGACCGTGTCATATGTTGTTCATTCGTTGGACTGTGACGAATTTGTGTAGGCTTCGGAATGGTTTCGTACGCTTATTCTTCCAAAGAGTGACGAGGATGACTGAGAAACAAATCCACAGTAAAATCGATCAGTCGTTTGGCCTAGTCCCAACGAGCTTCTCAGACCACCGTCTGACCTGGGAGAGTTTTTCACCGCACGTTTAATAGAATCAGGATTTTGGACAGCCCACTAAGAACAGAATAGATCGCGGAGTGAATCTGACCCCTTTGGAACTTTCTCTTGATTTGTTCCCTTAGTCGACTGAACGAAGCTGTAGAGGGTACCAGCAGTCGATTTGAACGATTTGAACATGCGGGACCGAGAAGACAGTAGTGTAGGGGCATTTTATCACAGCTTCCTCCATGGGTTTGAGAGCTCCTATACACGATTGGTGATTATTGGACCTGCTGATGAGCAGTAAAGTAAATGACATATCAATTCTAACATAAACTTCTCCACTGAACCCTTTTTCACGCACAGATGTCTCAGTATTTGTCGTCTCCCTGTGTATAAAAGTTCATAAAACTGTATGTGGTTCGTTTGATTCATAGCTGGGAACACCACACATTCAACGGACTAACCCTTTTGAAATTTGACCCTTTGAGAGGTGACGAGGCGGAATGATGTCTGAACATTTGTTTGATAAGCACACTTACTCTCCGACATTACACTCTCCCTTCAGTTGATAACCGATCTATGGAGAGCATTCTTCTTGTTCCTGACTCTGTCAGTGTCTCATCCGTTCAGACTGTCCACCAAGTATGGTTAGTTCACCTCGGATATCAAAGCTACAATGTGTGTAAATCGAAAATCAGAAGCTTTCAACTATGCAATCAAACAGGGAAAGCCACGTAACGTAGAAGGGACAAAGTTCAATAGCAAATGCGCCGCAAAAAGAGGCAACGGGTTATTTTGATTGCGCGAGGTTCAACGGGTTTGTTGAACAAGGACTTAGTAAAACATCAACTACTCATGTATGTACCTCACAGAAGGGGTGGACTCACTGACCAACCTCGGTAAATCCTCATCACTCTTGTTCATTTTCCTCGTAGACAGTTCCTGTTTAAGTCCTCAGGGAAGTACAGATTCAAATTGGTTGATTCAGATCCGAAAGGTTTATTCTCTTTAGCTGGGAATTCCTCTGTATGTTTACTACGCATACCCCTCAGCTGTTTTGCTCTCAGCCATCTACTTGTTTCCGCACCTGAAATCTCTCGGAACCAACATAACTTCAAACTTCGACGACCAGATTTATCTAGTTGATTAGTAAGTCAACGCCGCGTGTCAGGTCACGTCGATCCATTTACCACCATCTGTGTGTATTTATTTAACTTTATGACTACTTAAGCTTCCCCTTTACATTTTGACCTTCTTGTAAAGGAGTACACTGTGAACGCAATACGTACGATTGCATGCATGACGCATGTGGTGCCCATGGGATTTGTATTGACGGTATCAACGGTTACAACTGCGATTGTCTGTATGGGACTATGGGGAAACACTGTGTATCGATCGAAATGCCCGAACCCTCCATCCCGAGCGCAGACGCAAACATCGACAACGAAATTCTAATCGATACAGCCCAAAGGCTGATCTCAGGTGACGTCGAGAATGTTACCGGGTGCTCTTACTCGCCATGTAAGAACCATGCCAAATGTGCCACGGCCGCAGATGGTGATTCAATACCCGTGCGTCGGAACCTCACGCGTGCTTACACGTGTCAGTGCAGCACTGCCATCGGTTTATTTGAAGGTTCGTTCAAACGTTGCCTTAAAATCCTGGTGTTTTTTAATCGTGAGTCCTTTTTAGTGAATCTAACATTTTCACGACTGGAGGACAGTTTTGCTAAGACTGATTCCACCAGGTGCAATCACGATTTTACTGTGTTGTAGGTAAACACATATTGATGGAACATACTACTCATAATGTTGATGAAAGCCTTTTGACAGTCCACGACCAGTTTCGTCACTCTTAGGGCTCATCAAGTAGGTACAATTCCAACATTTCCTCCATTTTCTTATTTTCTACTTGACGTTTTCCTGCGATTAGCTATTCTTAAACCGGGGGACATTCTGAACTCGACGGTTCTTAATCTTTTTCAAATAGTTTACTAAGTTCTCTTCCGGTGTCCCCTAATTTGTTGCGCACTGCTTAGCCGTATCAGAAGAGTAATCTAATTAAGCCTACTTTTAAGCCGTCAAATAATAAAGCGCCGAATCAGGTTCACGGTTAGCTTTTCGTTCTCGCCCAATGTGTGAGCAATGCTCCCCTGGCTGGTCGGAGTTAAGCATTCGTCTGAATTAGACCTCTCGTTGTTATTCTTCAACCCAATGTACTGCGCAAAGACCTCCCTACGTTTTGGTTAGGTCGATATCTGAGGTAGCGACGTATTGCGACGTATTATCCACCGTATCAAGCAAAAATCCTCCAGATGTGCATAAACTTGGAAGGAGATCCAGTCAACAATACCAGGTGTCACAACAAGTTCTACAATCAAGGGAGACAGGAAAGGCGGAAGAATTGGGTTGAAAAATCAACCAACGAGAGATTGAAGCAAAAAAGTTAGAAAACCACCACTTCCAGTATTTTTCGATGGAAAACTTGAGTGTCAGTTGTTTTCAGTGATCATTTTTTGGTTTGACCAGATTATTGGAGATTATATCTCCATCCCTATTCCTGAGACAGCATTTTTACAGGTTATCAAGATGAGGGACGGCTGCTAACGTGGGATTAGAAGCCGGGATCCATCGAAACGGTAGTCCTCGATCACACTAGGAAATCGTCAGTTCCAAATTACACATTAGGTGGGATTATTCGACTACTCCGACTGTTTTGTTTGCATCTGCTACTGACTAGAAGTCGATGGAACTCTCATCTAAAGGCCATGGAGTGTGCTTCTACAAGCTTCTACGCCCCGGATATCTGGGGCCTAGATGGCCTCATCAACCAATGAAGAATGACATTCGACGCTACTTTGTGGAAGCATTGCGGTCAAGTGACCGTTGACCCTAGGAAAGCAACAGTCAGCGAAACGATAAGTGAAAAAGATGGCTCATTGATTCACTCGCAAAAACGTCGACTGGAGCAATGGGCCGAACACTTCGAAGAGCAGTTCAGCTGGCCTCATGCAACACAACCAGTGGAGGTAATGCATACGGACGAATGGAATGTAAACCTTGATCGCCCTTCAGAAGA